CCGCCACCCCCAGACCAATCATGGCTTGGGGGAGGGGCAACCCTGCCCCTTCCCATTTAGGCCCGCTCCTTCCTGTTTAGGCCCCACCCCTTCCGGGGTAGCCTGGGACTACCTCAAAAAGTTTTGAAGTGGCCCCCGGGCAAAAATTATTGCCCACCCCTGCTCTAGCAGCTCCTACCAGAGAAAGGGAATAAAACTCCACGCCAGCGTGGTAATCACGAGGCAGCGGATTTCATGCTGTGAATACGCTCTATGCCGCCTCGGTGCTGGTCCCGCTCGCCCACTGCCCTGCCGTGCCGGTGGAGTGGGGCAAAGCACGGTCTCATAGCGCCTTTCCCCGTGTCAGTGGTTCTCAAAGCGTGGTCCCTGGATCACTAGTGGTCCGCAGCCACCTCCCAGATGGGCCACGGTTCGAGCTCCGCCCCGGACCTGAAAAAGGTTCCCCACCCCTGCCATAAACACATCGAATCCTTTTTCTGTTGGGCACAAATTGATATTTTACTATATGTAAAATGAAGCTTGAGAAACGAAGATGAGAAAGTTCATCTGTTTCATAATTTAAATGAAACCTTTCTCCTTAGCTGCAGCGCTAGCAAAATGGCTCGGGCGTTATGATGTAATGAACGGTCACTTTCCATTAGCAACTGGTGGCCCGTGGAAAGAGTTGTGTTGAGCCGGGGGCCCCACAGGCCAAAAAGTTTGAGAACCGCTGCCCTACGCGCAATGGGACGCTGCGCTGCCTGACGGGGCTGAGCGACACGACTCCTTCCACTCCGGGGTCTCTCCCCGCAGCGTTAAACCTCACTGCCGTGGGCCATGCCGACAAAACGCACCGAGGAGAGACCATCGGCAAGTTACTTGGCTTGCCCACGGATCTGTCGGCATGTGTTACCAACACGACCCGATTCCCCCATCCTACGCCCCTCGGGAGGCAGGGGAGTGTTTTAAACACGGGGAAACCGAGGAACAAAAAGAAGGGACACGCTCGGAGTAGAGATGTAAAATTATTTGGCTAATTGAACGGTCGATGCAATATGCATCGACTATTTGATTCGTCGATAAAGGCGCTTCTGCCTTTGAAGTGTAGCAACATTTCAAAGGCGAAAGCGCTGTGGGGCGCACAGGGCCAGTGGGGACGCCGGGGGGCAGCGCCGCATGGAGCCCAGGGTCATTAGGGGAGTCCCCAGTGGACCCCAGGCTCCATGTAGCAATGCCGCTTTGGAGCATCCCTCTCCACCCCCCTTTCTGATATAGGCAGCAAGGGGACGGACGGACGGACTATTCACATCCCTCACTCAGAGTCCCAGCGCATTCACTGCAGAACCAGGAATCAAATGGCTCTGCCACTAGGCACTAGCCCCCACTCCCTGCCCAAGCTGGGAACAGACCCCAGATCAGCTGACTCCCAATCATGACCTCTCCACTGAACCCCATTGCCTAGTATGCAGAGGGGAGGCAGGCTGCGTCTGGGGCTATAGAACATGGCGCTGCCCTTGGGCAGTCCCCTGGCCCGGCGTGACGGCCTGCCACACCCAGCGCAGGGACTCACCCTCCGGAAGCAGCAGCATGGAGACACGTCCTCCCCAGGTTGTCAGGCGTGTTGATATCGAAACCTGCGGACAGCACGTGCTCGTTGCTCAGAGAGGAGACGATGCTGTACAGCTGACCTGTGGGGCAGGAGAGGGGTCAGGCAGGGACTCGCCAACCCACACATGCCCCCAGCCCAAGCTGATCCTCCCACCCCACCCCTCAGCCACCGCAGGCTTCGCTCACCTGAGGAAAGTAGCTTACGACAACAGTCTGAAAATCCAAAGAGAACAGCTAAGTGCAGAGGGAACATATCGTGGATCCCACGCCTGCCGAGAAGGAGAGGGAGGGGCAAGATCAGGCAAAGGACACACCCCGCTTGCCACCCCGCCGAAGCCCTGGCGGGCCCGGGGTCTCCTGATGGTGCCCAGGAGCGCAGCATGCCCGGAGAAGGAATCCCACCCTACACCAGCCCCTGGGCAGCCCTCCCGTTTCCACCCACCAGAAGCAGAGCCTAACGCCAGATGGGACTGCGGATGTTACATTCAGATGAACTGGCTAATCGGACAGTCGATGCAATTTGCATCCACTATTAAATTAGTCGATAGGGCACCTCTGCCTTTGGAATGTAGCAGCAGCCCCAGGGCTATTGCTACACTTCAAAGGCGAAAGCGCTGCAGGGAGCACAGGGCCAGCGGGGGTCCCAGCTGGCCCCAGGCTGCACATGGCATTTCAAAGCAGCAGCACCATGTGGAGGCCAGGGTCTGGTCCTGGGCTCCATGTGGTGCTGCCGCTTTGAAACCCCACCCCCCTTGATGCCTCATCCTGATAGAGGTGGGGGGGAAGCAACTAGTCGTTCACATCCCTAGATGGGACCATGGAATGACCTAGCGTGAGCTCCTAAGGCAGGCTCTTCTGGTGCACCCCCAGAGCCCTGCATCCAGCCCCACAACTGCAGCTGGATCAGAACATTTCAGTGCGACCTGCGTCTCCAGGGGTCTGCCTACGAGGGCCAGACACAGCCTGAAGGGGAGACACGGCAAGCGGGCTGGGCGCCATGAATCTGACAATCCTTTGGCTGGCAGAGACCCCAGGAATCGAGTCCAATTCCCTGCCCAAGGCCGGACCAACCCCAACTCGACCCTCCCAGGCAGGGCTGTGTCAAGCCGAGACTTGAACTCCTCTCTCCTTAGGGAACCCACCGCAGGGCTTCCCCACCCGCCTAGGGAAATGGTTTTTCCTGATCTCCCACCTAGACCTTCCCCACTGCAACTTGAAACCATTGCTCCTCGTTCTGCCACCTGTCCCCCCTGAGAACAGCCTCTCTCCAGCCTCTTTGGAACCCCCCTTCAGATAGCTGAAGGCTGCATCAAATCCCCCCTCCCTCTTCTCTTCTGCAGAATAACAAGTCCAAGTCCCTCAGCCGCTCTTCGTAGGTCATGTGCTCCAGCCCCCGAATCATTTTTGTCGCCCCCTGCTGGACCCTCTCCAGTGCTTCCACATCCCTTCCGTAGCTGGGGCTCAGAACTGGACATAACATTCCCAATGTGCACAGGAGCCAGATCCGCCAGCTGGACTCTCTGCCTCAGGCCCGCCCCCAGCCCATGGGGAACCGCCGACGTTTCAGAGCAAGGCCACAAGCCCCCGAATCCCTCCCGCCACTTGTGCTGGGCAGGAAGCGCCTGCCGGCCTCCCTCCCTCCGGATGAGCCCGCTCCCTGCTCCGAGTCCCAGGGCGCGGCCCGCGGGCGCCCCCCGCCTCCTCGCGCCCTCTCACCTCGCAGTGTCAGCACCATTCGTCATCAAAGTACTAATTAGCAGCTCGTGGCCATATCTAGCAGCAACGTGGAGGGGAGTATTGCCATATTTGTCAGCGCAGTCGATCTCGCTGCCTAGGGAAGGAAGCAGCCTGTTCGGTGAGACCTTTCTGGCCCAGGCAGCCCAAGAACGGCTCCCCCGCAGACGGCACCGAGTACGGACTACCGAGGGCCACACCGCCTTCCTCTCGGCAGAAGGCCTGACGTGATCGCTACAGTAATGTGCTCCCGAGTGCGGCCCGGCCACCGGCTGCACACACAGCTCCCGGGCCCCACCCGCAAAGCCCCCCAGGCTCAGCTACAGCTGAGTGATTCAGCTCACGCCGGAGCAGCTTCTGCTTGTGGCTCGGGCAGGCCCTGGTTCAGGACAGTGGCTCTCCTGGGACTCAGAGGATTGTCTCTGGCGGCAGGACCTAGCAGCGGGGAAAGTTCCCAGGCTCGCAGCGTCCCCGCGGCTGGATTCTCAGCTTGGGGCTCCAGGAGATGTAAGGTCCAGACCAAACGTATGTTTCCGCCCCCCCCCCCATGCTGCCCACCGGCGGGGGGC